GTCTCTATTACAATGGTTTTTCATTTTCTGCCTATTTTGCTTCTTATTTACTTGCCGGAATTTTTTCTCCTTAGTTTTTCTTTCAATTTTCTTAATGTTTTCTGCTTTATTTTTATCAGTAATATTGGTATATATTTTTCTTTTTCTTATCTTAGTTTAGTACATTTCATGTTATACTATTATTGTAAATATTCTAAAGGAGATTCTTAGTGTTACTGTTCACTTTACAATGTTATGAACAGTGAACTTTCTCTTTCAACCTCTTAAATGTGTATTTACTGATTTGACCTTTGAAGCTACTATTCACTATACAGTGTTAGTCTAATTTGTTTCCTCACCACATTCTTTTTTTCCTTGATTTTTGTATACTATGTCGGGATAAACGTTTTACATTTTTGTTTACCTTCTTCTTTTTCTATCAAAAACAGTTAATATGTTTCTGAGGCAAACATTGCTATTTTTACTGTATTATTTTTCCATATTTATCTTTATTGCTATTTTGGGTTGTATTTTTCTCTTTTACTTATTAATTTCTTCTTCTTTATCTTCATTGTGAATCATTTTTCAGAATACACTGTTCATGTCGGTTTTTTTCACACTTTTGTTCTTATGTGTTTACTGCCGTTTGTACATATTTCTTCAAGCTTTACAGTCATTTTTCCCAAAGTTAATCGTTTTGCTTTATTTTTTGTACTATTTTATATTGTTTTTGCTTTCTCTACAGTTTCACCCGGTAGTTTTTGGACAACCATAGTCTTTGTTCTAATAGAATCTTTCTACAAAACGCCCAAAGAAAAGGTAATAAAATTTTTTAGATCTTCTATTATACATTATCTATATAAAAACTTTGCCAAGCTATTTATATATTATATTGACCTATTATGATTTCTTAATATTTTTGTCTTGCAGTTAAAAAGACATCACAATGAATCTAATAAGCGTTACTCTATTATAGTGTATATATGTCTATATGTATATATAAATATATTTCCAACTATAATACTATTTGTGTATAATAATAACAAACCTTTTCTATATATATATATATATTTATTTGTAACTATGTTTAGAATAATAAAAAAATCTTTTATGTGATACAATATTATATTCCATATCAACGCGTGAGAATTCCACTTGAATATACTAAAGGAGAGAAAATATTCACTTTTCACACTCACAATTTATTATTTATCATACAGTAACATTCTCAAAATTCCGCTTATGTTCATTGTCCTTTGAGTGTGAATTGTTAATTTTACCTTTTTTTCTTCTCTTTTCCCTTCCCTGTGCATGGGCTTTGCGTCTTTCGTTCTAGGATTGTTACGTGTCGACGCCCGGCTGGCCGAAGGAAAAAGTGGCGGGACCCATCATTGCGAAGTTGCCCTCTTTCCCCCATTGAACACGTTTCTCTTCCGCGTGCTTTTTAAGCGTGAATCACAGCCGTCAAAATTTTTAATTGGACGATTTCATACTACTTCCGGTTTATTTTTTAGATTTTTATTCATTATTATAGTTATTTATTATTTTGAATTGATTTGAAATTTAATTCCACCGTTTTGTGCCAAATTTTTTATAATACTTAAGCAAAAATACCATAAATAATATAATAAAATTAAATTAAAATACGCTAAATTAAAATTAAATAACACCAAATTAAATAAAAAAATAAACAAAATAAAATTAAATTAATTTAAAACACAACGAAATAAGTTAGATTATTTTTTCTCTCTTTGCTTAAGATTTTCCCACTTTATTATTTTCATTTCTTTTGTGTCATCTTTTTTACTTCTATTTTTAAACAATTTGTATTAGTCGTTATTTTAAATTAATTATGTGTGTGTGGCGCACACAAAAAAAGAAAAACATCGAAAAAGAAAGATGTTGATTTGTGGTCTGATTTTACCCATTTCAATATCACTTTGCGCTAAATTTTAAAGCCTCTCAAATGATAATAGTATAAATAATTTGAATAAAAAATAAAATTAAATAAAAATACACTAAAATAAAATAAAGTCATACTTTTCTAAATAAATTAAACTATAAATTACTTCCGTGATTGGAAGAGCAGCACAAGCATTGATATAAAAATCATGCACTACATTAACAATTGATGAAGGCTTTACTAATCCATTTGTAATTCCACTAATCATTGCTCAGTTAAAGGGACAAACAAAAATCTTGCAAGTTTATTTTTAATAAAGAGGAGCACAAATAACTACAGTTGTTTCAAAAATATTTGAAGATGTCCATCTTTCAATATCACCATCACAAATATCAACTGCCACAACAATAGATCCAAAAACACCATATCTAATAAGATTGACCACAAGGTAAGACATATTTATTAATTTATATCAATTATCAATAAAAATCAACATTTACTATTTTGAATATATATATTAACAATCTTTAATCAATTCAGTTCTGAATCAAAAGCAACATACCCACCCAGAAACGCTCAAAGACCAAGTAATATAACTATTTATAAATCATTTAATCTACACTACATATAATTTATTATTAATTTTTTTTAAAATTTGTATTTTATAGTTAAAAAGAAAAAAAGAAAACGAAACCTATAATACATTGGAAAAAACTTTTAACTATATATATATATATATACATAAACTAATTCTATACTATAAAAATTTTTAACTTTTTATATAATACAATAATATTTCTCTCAACAACTCGCGGGTTGTTGACTAGTTGCATCTATAAGAAAGTTTGTAAAACGACATTTTAGGAGAACACAAGAGAGAATATATATATATATATATTTCTATCTCCCTCTCTTCTCTCTTTTCTAGTCATCGCCGTCATCTCCTCACTGCATGACACAGCGGTGATCTACTCCCTCCACATAAGGCCATCATGGGCTTCCCGCCTCCGAGCGATGCTATCATCTCCCTCCTCCCTCCGTTTGACACCATTTCTAATCCCCATGCATTGTCTTATGTTTTCTGAGTTTCCCCTAGATAAATTTGGACTCGAACATTGAGAGTTTTTCTTGCAAGAACCCCTATTTCCTCGAAACACGGACTTTTGGAAAAGATTGGACAGTAAGAATCAAACGAATAGCAATTGTCAGGATCTGGAGCAACTTTTCAATTCAACAAACTGATCCTAAATCAAACTGTAGTTTAAGTGTAATATGGACTATATAACTCATGACATCAAAGTGTCAACCGCAAGTAGATAAAAAGTAAACTAGTTCCATAAGTAAAAGAAAATCAGTTAACCAATGATTTACTTACTGATCACAAAAGCAAATTAGTGATTTAAAAGTCATGTTAAATTTGTATCTCGTGAATTGGTAATTATGAAGGAAAAATAAATGATTGACATCAATAACTTCTTTCCAAAGTGAAAGTGTCAAAATTTAAACTAATTTTAGTTACTGTTATAATTGTCTGCCTAACACGCCTACCCTTAAAAAAAATAAAAAATAAATAAATAAAACCCAAAGTAACGAGAAAATAAGAAAATAAAACAAAAAAAAAAAAAATGGAGCTTCTCCGGTAGGCCTCCTTATTATAGGACTTCATTTCTGACTATTAAATTTAGTTAAAATCACATTAGATTTAAAAAACGTTTAGAACAGACAGTTTCTGATACAGATTTGACGACAAAAAGAAAAAAATATCAATAATTCATTTTTTCTAGTGCTGCTAGAGAAACTCCCAAAGAGAAACAAAATCACTGTTAGATATGGGTGGCAATTCGTGTTAGTGAGTAGTGTTCGTATTAACCCGTTTATTAATCATGTCATAAAATATTAACCCAAACACGACATGTTTATTAAATGTGTCAAAAATATTAACCCAAACACGACTCATTTATTAATTATGTTAATCATGTCAACCAGTATAACTCATTTAAATTAACATGTTGAATCAATAACTAATATAATAATGACTTATTTAACACGGTCATGACATGTTTAATATGTTTATTGGTCAATTTATATTTTCCTTTAAAAAAAATAAATGAATTTTACCTACAAATATTAAAATTCACATTATTTGTATTTAGTATGTCATATAAACTTTCATGTTATATCACATATCATTAGATTGTAGATGACACATATAGATAATTGTGTCACTTCGTATTAGGAGGTTAACCTTAACCTAACTCATTTATTAATCGTGTTAATCATGTCGACCTGATTATGACTCAGACTCATTTATAATAAACTCAAACATGCTAACTTCGTGCTGGTTTCGAGTCGTATCGTCGTGCACTACCTGAATTGCCAGCCCTACGTTAGAGTTATGAGAGGTCCCCGAGAAAATGGCATGAAAACTTTGGGAGAAATGAAAAGGCACATTTGATATCTAGTATCTTCTGTAACCGGTTAACCAGATAAGCATGCATTTCCTATGCCAGCCATATAATCCCAACAAGGCAAGTCAAATCCTTACACCACCAGCCTTTATTTTGAGAGAAAGCAGAGCAATAATCCAAATCTGAAATTGAATCGTGAAACCACTATCAGAGTTTGGGCAGAGAAGTGAAGGAGAAGAATAACACATTATAAAGTATTGGACTTCTATCTTAAAATGTTAAACTATTTAAGTGTAATGGTCGTATATTCTTATATGGTTGTGATTATCTTTGTATTTAGACTATGTGGGACTCGAATATTTTAACCTTAACACGCTCCCACAAGATAGTGCTCCGTTAGGAGTCACTAATCTTGTATTTTTTATAGATCGACCCAACCTATTTGAGCAATGAAATCTGATACCATATTAGAATTTGAGGAGAGAAATGAGGAAGAAGAATAACACTTTATAATGTATTGGGTTTCTATCTTAAAAGGTTAACATATTTAAGTTGAGTGGCTCAATATCTTTATATGACTACGATTATCTTTGTATTTAAACTATGTAAGACTCGGATGTTTTACCCTTAACAACCAGACATGTAATGTAACCAACTTGACATCCAAATCCGAAACTTATATCACAACAATCACTTATTCGGTTTTTTTTTTTTTTTTTTTTTTTTTACAAGTTAAAAGCATATGACATATACAAGTCGTGGAAAAGCAAAAACTAGGCAACTTCTATACGAATGGACTGAACAAAGCTATGTATCCTCTTCTTTATCTCTTCTGGATTGGCACCCACAAGCTTGTCTACTTGAGCTCCATTCCTCATCAGCAGAAAAGTGGGCATGGCCTTTATGTCCATTCTAGACGCCACTTCCTAACAAAAAAAAACAATTGTGCACATTCAAATAACATCCATTTTTCAGTTTTGGATTTGAGTTTCAGAATCTCATCTCAATCCAATGCTTACATTGCCAAACTGAACTTAACCAGGTATTTACAGAGAGTTTCATAACAAGAAGATTCAAACCTGTAGCCAAAATGTGCTTGGAAAAGGTCCTGAAATTTCTAACTCATTGGGAGGAGAAATAACCAAAACGGAAAGCGGTGTCTGAATCGCAGATGCTGAAGAATTTTTTTGGAAAATTATCAAAGGTGCTATCATAAATCACTAATCATTCAAGGAGTCTTCGTCCTAACTTGTTGCACTTGTTAAATATAACACGACATTCAAATCATTTGAATATCGAACACCAACTTTAAAAAATGAAAAATCTCATAATTTGAACATGTTCTCAGATTCAACATCCATAACAAATCCATGCGATGTAAACTACCTCGACATGGAAAAAATAAACCCTCAAGTGGCAATTGTCAATCACTTCCTAATTCCTACAACTCAGTCTAATAACAAGAAAAGACACAAGTGAATTCCCTCCATTCTAAGCATCACCATGATTGTAAAACCCAAGTTTCATCACATGAATCAAGTCAGCAACTCCTTTTTGCTCTTAACCAACAAAATTTTACCAGTTATAAATCATATGCGAACATAAATATTTAAATTCTGTATCTTAAAGATACATGCCAGCCTATATCTATCTTTCACTGAGCAAAGAGATATAAAACAATATCTCAAATTTCTGCAACCCCACATCTCCAACAAAGAAAACAAATAAATTGAAAAATAGATAAGAAAGCAAACACCCATATATAATATCTAACATTATCATCCCAACATGTGCACAAAAATAATAATATCCTAAATTCTATGGCTGTTTTCACATAATGCACCAGAGCAGACCCCTGTCTTATTATATGATACAAATAAAATAAGCCTTCTTCTTGGTTTAAGAAACTAGAAAAAATTACCTTGAGCTCATCAACGTCAACCACAAGAAACAGGACATCAGGGTAGTTTGAGGCCAGTTCCTCAAAAATTGGATTCATAGCCACCGAAGGCATACACCATGAAGCAGTGAAGTGAACAACAATCTACACAACAAATCCAATCCCACCAAAACAAAATAAATCCTCCATACTAATAAACAGAAAAATAATAATTCACTTCAATTGATGCAAGCAATTCAAACCCCACTAATGCAACAATAAAACTCCCACATAAGCATTCACTGATCATGATCCTCAAGAGATAGAGAGAGAGAGAGAAAGAGAGAGAGAGAGATAAAATCCAGTAGAGATAAATTGGAAGAAATGACACCAAAGCAAAAGACGAAGAGTTAGAGGGCCATATTCATTAATTAATAATCATAAACCTCACTGAAGAGATGCCCCAATAAATCTGCCAAAAAAAAATGTAAGAATTCTGAAAAAATAAAAAAATAAATAAATCTCGCAGGACTGCCTTGATTGTTGGCCTGGGTTATAGAGAGGTCCCAAGACTCCAAAGAATCAACCTTTACCACTCTGGCCTTACTCTGTTGTACTTCTTGTTGTTGTTGGCCTTCCATTTCTTTCTCCTCCTTTTTTATTTATTTATTTATATATTTTTCTGAGAGAGTTCTTCTTCTATTTGCTTCTTCGGTGATTTGGCTTCTCTGGAACTCTGCCGAGTATAAAGATACCACTAGTATACATGGTTTTCCTAACCTTTTTCTTGTTTTCCTGCTATTTTCCACGAGGACTAGGATTAAAATGGATAAATATGATGACCTAAGGTTTCGTTTATTTCGCTGATTCGAGTTTAGAATTCGAATTTTGCTACAGTAAAAAGCTCTCATAAACAATCACATTTAACTTTTTTACTATAATAAAAAGCTCTCACATAAAATCACATCTTAACTCGAATTAAAAATTTAAATCAACGAACTAAACAGACTATGGAGTTTGGACCCCACCCACCTAATCCGGAACTGGTCTGTACAAAATGGGTATTTCGTTCTGTTTTTTTAATATTTTGTTTCTTTAGTTAATAGCAGCGGATGATAATTTTGTTATACAGAAAGAATCTACAATTTTTATGGTAATGTATTACATATATATGTCTATATATAAAAAGTTGTTTACAATGTTATTTACTATGATGTTGTTACAAAAAGTTATATACAATGTGTTTGAGTTTACAGGTATATATATATATATATATATATATTATATATATATAATATAGATGATTTCATTATAAAAGGTTATTTAAGTTGTATTTGAGTTTGATGGCTTCTTTTTTATTTCACTCACTCCTTAGCTGCAAAACATAAATTTTTGAGAAATTAGCATTGATAATTTTAAAGATTAAAAAGATTTCAATTTAAGTATGGCTGTGTTACCTTGATTCTTAGACGTTTTCTTGATTGATGTGTTTCTTTTAAGCGAGAACTGAAAATAGAAAAATGTTATTAAGATATATATGTGTAAAATTGCAATTATTATTTTTTATTGATGAGTAAAATAAATAAGTCGATATATTTTACCTTGTAGCTGATTTTTTTGGGATTCGTGTCTGTGGATCAATTGGTGGTAGTGCTAATAGTTGTGTTTCTGCTTCAATAGAATATTATTTAAATATATATTTGAAATAGTAGATATTGTTTTCTATATACAATTTATATAAATTAGTAAAAATATTTTACCTTGTTGTTGGTATTTCTGTGGGAGATGTTTGTGGTGGTCATATTACAGGTTGAGTGTCTTCAAATATTTTCGATGCGATTGTATTTATCTGTCCTCCTTTTTGTTGGAAGTATATTTGGAAGATTTTTGTTTGCCCTCTCAATCGGTTGATAATTGATGGGATTGTGAACCGATCAGTAAAGCCTTCATCTATTGTTAGAGTGGAGCATGGTTTCTTGATGAGGACTTGCGCTGCTCTGCCAAATATAGTTACATCCATGTTTCCGGTATGGTCCTCGATCTTTGTGATTAATTTGTACCTATATTTTATATAGTAATAGATTATTTGTGTGAAATATTATTTATAATAATTAAGGAAGGTAAATAGATTTTTATAATAAAGAATTTTAATTTTGATTACCATGGGGATGGCATTGTTTTTATATGCCCGTGACTGTTATACCACCAACCGCTTCCTGCTTCTCTTAATTGTTGATAACATCTGGGGTATGAGTTATAGTACCATCCTTGGCTTGCTGAGAATTCAATTATTGTAGCTTTCACCGTAAATTTTAGGTCCTTTACAATTAAGAATAAATTGTCAGCCTAAATAGTGTAGTTTTAAAGTAAAAAGAATGTGGAACCGTATAGTACTGACCTGATTAATTTCTTGTTGTAGCAATTTTAATTCAATGATTGTTTTTCTGTTTGTTGTCCTTTGTTCTTCGATGGATGGTGCTTGTGTTGCTGATGCGATTGGGAATTCAATTTGTTGATTTTGGTGGGCAAATCTCTACATGTAAAGTTAAAAGTAATTAAATAAAGAAGTAGTAAAAGAATTTTTTTGTTTTCAGACTTTGTTGATTATTTTAGTTACCTTGTTTTTAGTGTTTTTGTTTCTAGTATATCTAGATCAATGTAGAAAGTTGTTGCTGCTGTACTTGAGACATATGCATTGCTTGAAATATTTATAATAAATTGATTAGTTCTTTGTTATACATATATCTAAGTATTTTATGTCTATATAAAAATATTGTTTTGAATTGCTAAGAAAATACCTAAATATTGCTTAACCAACATTGATGTGAAAACTGCTACAATTGGTCCTTGCATCAATTTTATAACATTTTCATCAAATTGGTCGGCTTTGTGTCCTCATAACGTAACTTGGAGTTGTTCATTCCCGTTGAAAAGACAAAATAAAAGAAAACGATTCATGTAAAAATCTGTTAAGTACTGCAAAAGTTTTTGGTTTTTTGTAATTATATGTTTTCTCCATATGGTCAAAATAGAATTTTTGTAGAACTTATTTACCTTATATTTTAGATCATTATGGTGCACCGCGTTGTTGATCTTCTGGCAACACTTGCTTGCTCAAGTTTTTGCACTCTTGTTAGGATACCTATCACATATGTATGCAAATGAATAGAAAATATTAACAATATATATTGTTAAATTAATAAACATTTTTTTAAATCATAAAGAGTGATTGACATTACCACTTAAGATTTCTGTTGTTCTGATTCTGTGTTGGAGTTGGTCGAATTCAACGAAGTAGAACCTATGAAATGGAATGGGCAGTGATTCGTCTGTAACTGGGGCAAAAGATGTTGCACTTGCGAATTGCAGCATTGCACTGTGTGGTACAACTCTGTATGTTGGTTTGTTCTCACTGACAAAAAAATTATTGATGTCATATATATTACCCAATTGAATTTTTTCAGAAATAGTGCCTGAGTCACGTGCCCGAATTGATCCTTCGATTGCTTCATGCTGCGAGTGACAAAAATAAAAATGTCATTTATTTTATAGTATTTAATGTTAGATAAAAAATAATATAATGCAATATTTGCAAGAATTGTTACCTCTTCATCGACTAAGAGACAATCGAGGCTGATTAAACGTCTTGTTGTCAAATCATCGTTTGTCCATAACCTGAAAATTCATGCCCTAATTGTTTCGTAAATTTCATTTGGCTTCAGTGCGCGGATTGGTGTTGTCATTTTGTTTAACTGTTAAAGATAAGAAATAATTGTTTAATAAGTGAAGGAATAATTTTATTGAATATGTTTTTAGTATGTTTATAATAAAAGATTTTAATTATATAAAAAATGGTGCATTATGATGATGGATATGTTTTGGCTTTATTGATGATAAAATACTTTTGCTATACAAAAGAAACGACAATATGTATGTCTTATTTGATATTGTGTAGAATTTCTTTATAGATAATATTTTTTACATGATTTGGATATTTATTAATCGAGTCGTGAATTAGTATATGCAATCTTTTTGGGCTTGTCACTCGTGATAAAGCTACATATAATTGTCCATGTGTAAAAATTTCACTTTCTAGATATAAAATAATTTTATGCAGTGATTGTCCTTGGCTTTTATTTATTGTCATTGCATAGCAAGTTTTGACAAGAAATTATCTTCTTTTTAATGTAAACAGCCAATTAGATTCATGTATGATCATTTCTATTCTTGGTATATAGACTTTTTCAGTAATATCATTTGAGTTTATAATTTGTCCTTCTATAATTTTATTTGTTAATTGTGTAATGATAAGTCTTGTTCCATTACATAGTCCGATGGATTGATTTAGATTTCTTAATAATATTATAGTAGTTCCGAGTATAAGGTTTAGTTGATGTGGTGGTATTCCATTAAATTCAAGGCTGTGTAGAAATTCTTTAGGATATAAGAGATTAAGTTCATCTATGTTTTTAGATGAAGATAAAATTGTATCATAACTATAATAAGATTTTAATTCTGTTGGGACCAAAGATAGTATATAATTATTGATATCGTCTGTTGTTTTATTTTTTAGGGTTACTACTCGTTGTTTTAAATATTCAATGTTACTAAAATTGTTATTGAAATTGTCATAGATTGATGTTGAAATTTTTTCAACTGGATTTGATTCATAATGCAATATATATTTTTCTAGTATTTTTATTCATGTAACATCTTCATTTTCTATATCTTTTATTCCTTCAGCGATACCATCTCCAACGCTTAATATCCAGTTTGAAAAGGCTGCAATTTCTTTTACTTCTTCGCCTGTGTTGTTGTGATGTTTTAATCTCATATTTTCTGTCAATGTTAGAATTCAAAAATGTGGCCATAGATAAGAATTATTTATAGTTACATTTATTATGTCCTCTTTTGTTCCTGTGGGAATAACTGGTAATATTTCAAAAATCACCTCCTAGGACATCTATTATTCCACCAAATGGCTGATGATAGTTATTTCTTAAATCTTGAAGTGTCTTATCTAATGCTTCAATAGAATATTTATTTGTCATTGGTGCTTCATTCCATAATATAAGTGATGTCTTTTCTATTAATTTTACTAATTGAGTTCCTTTTTTAATGTCACAGGTAGAAAAATTATCTATGGATAGTGGCATTTTAAACCTAGAATGTGATGTTCTTCCTTTAGGCAACAATAATGATGTTACTCCAGATGATGCAACGGGAAGAACTATCTCATTATTTGATCTTATTTTTGTAATTAATGCATTCTATAAGTACGTTTTGCCAGTTCCGCCATGACCACAGATAAAAAAAATATTATTTTTCCACGATATAATGATTCTAAAATTTGTTCGTAAATATATCATTGTTCATGATTTAGATTATGTAGCAATTTTATATTTTCTGTTTTTAATTTATCTGTGTTGTAATTTAGTTCTTCTCTTAAGAGTTTATTATTTAGATCATCCATTAATGATCTAGTAGGAAGAGGTAGACTAAAATGTGTTAAAGTTGATGAGTTGACATTTAATAATTTTTCTAATTCATATAATACAAAGTTATATAATTCGGCTTCAGATATTTAAAAATGTGGATTGTTAAATAAGGATCTTATTTTGTGTAAAATATTATCCGTCATAAGCTTCCAATGTTTTTCGAGTAACTTTGTCGGATTTTTTACGTTGCAAAATAATAGAAGTGATAAATAATTGTCGTAATTGGGTTGA